TGTTGTGGGGAAAATAGGAGCAGGCAGGAGTATTAGGTATGTTCACTGCCTTGAGTTATTTATAAAAATAATAAAGGCAGGATAAAAAAACCAATTAAAAAAATCACTCACTCTCGGTGGAAGAGGTGGCTGTCCAGTGTGACTAGGCCAAAGTGAGCTTCAGTCAGTCTTCTGAGCACATAGAGCTGACGGCGCAGGTCATCCTCACTCTCATGGCCATCTCCACTCACTGCAATGTACAGGCACTCACCAAACTGAAAAACAAAAAAAACAAAAGGCCTACAGAACTGCATCAGCTACAATTATAAGACAAACAAAAATAACAACGTACTGGTAACATTTATCATAAAACTAACATTTCTTAAAAGTTCTCTTTACTGCTCTAAAACGCTAAGCACATTTTCATTTTTTAAACAAACCAGATTTGAAGCCAAAGGCAGTTCACTGATGTTGGTTAAAGCCACTGAACCCACCTTGGAGAACATTATCTGAGACTTATCAAGAAGTGACCAGACTACAATACACTGTTGCTGGGGTGCATTTAGCTTGTGGCTGACAAACAGTGCCATTTATAAATTATTCTTTGCAGGAAAAAGAGGAGAGTGGACCACTCAAACACTGAAACTAGAAGATGAGGAAAAGAATACAGGCAGTGCAGAGATCAGCTCATTCAGCAACTGTTCAAAGACACAACAGCACTGAATGAGAGGACTTATGACTGTTACTCATAGTTGCAGCCATCACAGCATCCATGCGGTCACGTGATCAAAATTCTGGCAGTTGGCAACCAGCTTGCAATTACAATAGATGCAGCGTCCTATGGTCATGTGAATACCATTTGCGACCTTCACTGCCAGCTTCTGACAAAGTCAACGGGGAAGGTGGCAGGGGGTCGCAAATGGCGATCACATGAGCTCAGGACACTGCAACCATGCAGGATTCACCTAACAGCAGCAACTGGAACTGCCACAATTGCTGTCGTAATTCGGCATGGTTGTGGGACATTGTACTTTACAACCGCATTGCTTAGCAATAGAGTTGCCGGTCCCAATTACCATTGTTAAGTGAGGACTACTTTTAAATGTGAGGTTTACTTTACACTCCTCAGATGAAATTGGATCTCAACTGGGAGCTCCCTTCTACCTAGCCTTTCCAGGAATCTATCTCTGCTGGTCCTAGTCCTGAACAGCCAGCTTTAGGTCCTAGTCCTGGATAGCCAGCTTTAAGAAGGTATGCATTCAACAGATCTACATTCCCCCCACCCCAATTAGATCTTTAAGGAGGCTTTACACAAATATGTTTGAATACCGTTATTTAAATTGGCTCCATACAGACTTTTCTCTTGCCCTTCAAACAGTGTCTATTAACTTCTAGCCATCTTAGCCTTGGCAGTGTGGGCAAAGAATCCCTTTTGTAAATGTGTCAACTTCTCCCCACAGGGTTGGATCTAAAAGGAGCTGAACTATGTCCAAATCCAGCTGAAGGATGATTCATTCTCCTGGAACTACATATGGATATGTATGGATATGTGTGATTTTGACATCCATGGCACCTGCTAAATTATCATTTATAAAGTCCAAATTGGCTTGAGACCATGGTAATTGGGCTATGACTTCCTCTGACACAAATCTGCCTGCAACTTAGACTCAGAAGAACTAAGGTATGGTAGATTGAGAGGCTCCACATCTCAACTGTGGAAAAAAATCTGGTTGGCTCTCCTTTTTGAGTTTGAGGAGGGAAACAAAATAGTATCTAATACATCAAATGTTTATCTTCCAACTATGCTCTTTCTATCCTTAATCTGGTGACTAAAATACTCCCATAATTGTGGCCAAATGCTATGTGAACTAATGTTTATGGGTACTGAAATACAACCCACATAAAAAGCACCAGGTCAGGGAAAACTATTGTGCTCTTTGCTTACTACTGTTTTAAGTGGTGTTGTTTAATACTACTTTATTCTTATTAACTGGTTTATTTTTGGCTTTTTAAAAAGTGAAGTTGTGGAAAAGATGCTTTTTTGGACAGAAACCAAACTCTTTTAGGAGAAGAAGGAAAATACTACTTCGAAACTGGACAGTACATTTCTGTCCTAAAGCAAGTGGCACATCCAGGGATACATTTGTCCACTCCTTATTAGAAATTCACCAACTGCTTGCAATGCAGAGCAGTGAGTAATTACCATATGCAGTACATAGAGATGTTTGCCATTTTCAGCAGAGAAGCAAGTGTATGTGTCTCCTAACTTCTCTAGCATAGTTGCACAGGAGATGATCATGGGGGCAAACAACGTGTTGATGCTGTCTTCCACAGAAGGGATCTGTGAAAAGAAGGAAAATCACAAATATTCCTATCTTCCAGTTAGCACACACATCTTGGACTAGCTGGAACCCAATATCTTTCCAGGAAGTTATACATAATCACTAGAACAGGCGCATGCAACTTCTTTTAGCTTAAGGGCCACGTTAGGCTTTTCACAGTAGACCAAGCAGCATATATCAAATGTGTACAAGGCCACTACACCTTTCCTGAGTGATTTGGCAAGGCTTAAAAGACCCATTATGCTCTTTAATTCCCTGAACTACAAACCATACAGAAACAGGCCTAAAACTTTTGGCCCCATCACTCACATGGGGCTCTGGGGGCTGCAAAAGCTGGCAGACTGCCATTTTGGCATCCAAAGAAACCTTAAGTACACCTGCTCTAATACTACAAGAGCTACAATTTCTAAATGGAGCTGAACCCAACAGTACCAATCTCCTTCTGCTCCTGCATTTGTGCTAATTCTCTCATCAGAGCTTACCTCATCGCCATTCTGATCCTGGGTCCCAAAACGCTGATGCAGGATTGCCATAAAGTCTGGATCGGCCCAGTAGAAGAGGACTTCAGCACCCTCACTGGAAATGAGGACACACTTCATCTGTAAAGGAAATGCAAACGCAGGGCTTTCTAGGTGGTTACCTAGATTCAGTTCCTGTTTATGAGGGGGCAGGAAACGAAGAAGAAAAAAGATCAGCTTTGGATCTATCAGGAAATATAAATAAACAAAGAAGAGAGTCAAAATCGTAACCACTGAGGAACTGAGCAAGGGTCAGTAAGTAAAATTAGTAACATCTATAACGGTGGATATCGGCTGATGGGGCTCCAAAGGGGCCTTTCGAAAGAAGGAAGCGCTCGGTAACTGTCGCACCGAAACGAACGTGGCAGAGGAAGAAAGAAATGAGAGAAGCCCCATCAAGACACCCTGTAGGAAACCCACCAGGACTGAGCGCCAGGATGTCACGGCGATCTGCCCGGAAGGAGGAGAACTTTTCTCAGGCCACAGGCGGGCCCGCCGCGCCGAGCTGCCCTACCTTTCCCGCCCCGGGACACGCCTCCAACCGAGGCAGGGAGCGGCTGCGAACGTGGCGCCGTGGGGTCTTTCCAGTTTGTAAGCTGAGCAGCAGGAACCGCTGGGAGCGGCGGAGGACCCTGTCCCAAATTGGTCCTCATCGACTCCGGACGAACTTGTGCAAGCCAAGCCAAGCCCGCCCGCGCGTGACTCCGCCCCGGGAAAACACATGAGCCGCGGAATCAGCTCCGCCTGAACCAGAGAAGGCTCGGGAGCTCCCACGCCGCCCGCCTGCCCGCCCTTTGGGCGTTGTTGTTTAGGGGGTCGGTTTTCTTTGAATCAAACCGGCAAGTCTCCTACGCAGATGGCGGAGAGGAAGGAAAGCGCCGCTGCCTGACCTATTTCCTCACCACTCGGTTGGCTGCTGGGCCAGTTCAGTGAATCGCGCCGCTCCGCCTTTGAGTGGAGATAGGGCGGGGCTCTTCGCTAAGGTGCAGGCGAGGGACGGCGAAGGAGGTGAAAGTTGGTTGTCGGGGGCGAAGAGGGGGAGGCGCCCCTGAGCGCCCCCTCCCTCCGGCAGCACAGTGTCCTTGGCCGGTTGCTGCCTTTTCTCCGGGGAGGACCCGTTCCGTTAAGAGGAGGGCAAAAGTTCAATCCTCGTGGTGGGGCAGAGCCCTTCCTCACTTACATCTGACCGCTTCACGACTCTGCCTCAGCAAGTGCTACTTCGGTTGTGAGTTGGCGTCGCGGACTTCATCTCTTCCCCAGCCAGTACCTATGGCAGCTTTAAGTCTGCACTGATGTCAGAGCAGTGTTTCCCCCTTTCTCCCGCTCAGGCTTTGCCACGGATGAGAGCTGACAAGCTTCACTGACTATTCGGTCAAGGTGCTGTCAAGTGACGTCCTGGAGGTGCGATCACTTGAGGCTGATGGAGGAGGACCCCTCCTCCTCTCTGGGTCCTGGGCACTGCCTCTCAGGGTATTCTGCTTTGGGTAGCGAGGGAGTTCCGTACCCCTTTATCCATCAGGAATGACCAGCAAGTGGTGGTCATGGGGGTGGGCTGCATGTTGAAACTAGAGAGAGCTGTCTGTCTGCTGCTGTATGGTACAGCTGTCCTAGCACCTGTCCCTGGTGTTCGGGATGTTTTTGAAAGTGGGTTTAGCACTCTTCTGGAATAGCACTAAGCTTGAAAGAGCTCTTTTTGGATGTGAGTTCAGTGCTGTTCCAGAAGATATATCAGCTGATAGTCATACTTCTATGCACCCACACAAAACAGTGAATTTTGACACACAGTTAAACTTGCTGGTCTAGTCATCTGTCAACATTTTATTTTTATATATCAAATTTGTCACCACCCATCTCGTTAAAAAGCAACTCTGGGCAGTTTACAGAAAAGATAAAATTAATTTAAAATACAATATAAGAGTAGTCCTAAATAAATAAGTATACTCCAAAGATTGATGGAATATAGCAAATATTAGGTTCGGGGAGTGTCGTCAGGGCACCCCAGGGTTGGTTAAAACTCTTATTGCCCCATGCAAGCTGGCAGAGCCAGGTCTTTAGTCCTTTCTGAAAATCCGGGAGGATAGGGGCCCGCCGCACCTCTGGGGGGAGTATATTCCAGAGGGCAGGGGCAACGGCAGAGAAGGCTCTCCTCCTGGACGCTGCCAGCCAACATTCTGTCACTGATGGGGTCCACAACATGCCCTCTCTGCCTGAGTGGGTGGGATGGGTTGATGTGATGGGGGTGAGACGGTCCCTCAGGTAGTCTGGACCCATTTAAGATTTAAAGGTAATAACCAACACCTTGAATTGGACCTGGAAACAAACTGGGACCCAATGCATCTCTCGCAGTAAAGATGTTACATGTGCCATCCTGGGGGCACCCAAGATTGTCCGTGCAGCTGCATTTTGAACCAGCTGTAGCTTCCGGATATTCTTCAAGGGTAGCCCCATGTAGAGCACATTGCAATAGTCTAGCCGAGAGATGACCAGGGCGTGAGTGACTGACCGGAGAGCCTCCTGATCCAGAAG